TTTTCTAGACCTTACAGTTTGTTTATTTTTATTTTGTGGTGATATTGGGGTTTGAAACTCAGGGCCCTTAATTTGCTAGGAAGCACTTACCACTTGAGCCATGGCCCCAGTGCTAGAAGTTAGAATTAATACACTTATGCTTCCCAACATATGCTGCCACACTGTGGCAGAATTTTCAGGATTAAAATTGACTTCCATGGCTTTACAAGCCCACATATGAGCTGAGACGCTCAACTTAATCTGTGCAGTCCTGTGCTATTCCCGATCTTTGCTGTTATACCCCCAAGCCTCCTGGGCACACCAAACTTTTTTCCTTCCCTGGCCTGTACATCTCCCTGGATGTTGCTCCCCTCTCCAGTTGTTGGCTAAACTAGGAGGCATCAGTAACCTACCCCACACCCATGGCCTCCCCATCAACAAGTCCTAGTTTGCCATGTGTCAATGTATGTCCAGAGTGAGCCTCTTTTCAGTCTCCCCGACCTATACCTGTGTTATTACATACAGTAGCTACCTAGCCATTTTCTCCCTTTCAGCTTCACACACAAAAATGCAGTACATTCTTCATAACTGCAGCTAATATCATTTAAAATGTCACCCAGTGTCACACTTGTATTTGGAATCCCTCAGTAGTTTTTGGTCTCCCTCTCAGTAAATCCAAGTCCTGCATGGTATAACTCTGGTGCCTCTCTTAATTTCCTCCCATCTCTCTTTTTTCTCTTTAGCTTTAGTCTTATTGTTCCTCAAATAAACTCACTCTATCTGTGCCTTGGAGCTTTTACTTGCCCTTCCTCGTCATTGTTGACTCCACTGATGTGGCTGCGCCTATTTCCCTCTGTCTGTGCTAGATGTCATGTTATCAGAGGCCATCTTTAACCACTTTATCTAAAATAAAATAAGCCTACTCACTTGTTACTCCTTTCCTCATTCTGATTTGCTTCCTACATAGTACTGTGTTCCCTCATCTGTTCGTCCCTAATTGTTACCTAAATTCGAGTTACTATATAAGCTCTGCAATGTTGGCAGTGACTTGGTGTGTTTGTTTACCGCTTGTAGCCTAGTGTCTTAAATAAAATAAAAGTAGTAACTATATAATAGATGAATAAATTTTTTGGTGATTGAATGAACATTATGTTTTTTGATATTGGTCTGACCAGGATATAGTTTTAGGTTTTGTTCTTTCATTTATTTATTCATTCACTTCCTTAAAGCCCATCATTGTGCTTAACTCTGAGCATTATTGACACATTGATAAAAATTAAGCAAAGTCTTTTTATTTTTAATTGTTTATATTGTTAGCTTTAAAAGTTCAGTACATATTTTATCTCTTGTGAGAAATGGCCAAATTCTAGATTTAAGTTCCTAGGATCTTTCCCTTCTTCCTTCCCATCCCTTCCTTCCTTCTTTTTCTTTTTTTTTTTTTTTGCAATTGCAATTATTGTCCAGTTTCCAAATATGATCAAATTGTTGAAGATTTTGCTTTATAGATTAATATTAACAGCCTCTTCTGATGCTTCCAACAGCATAGCATGTAATTTTTAAAGGAACTAGTGGTTAGTATTTTAAGTTTTTTTTGCTGTTTTAACATTTCAAAAATGCTTCCTTCCTTATTTATAACCCCCTCTGCAAACACTGTTACTTTAATTACTATATGGGTCTCTCACCAGCACTTTATTGTTAGACAAGTATTTAAAATCAGACTTATATTAATAAAGAAATGACCTTGTGTTACTGTCCAACCATGAATGAAAATACTTTTTTCTCTTTTATGTCAATGTTTGGACATATCCCTTTCCTCTTCTTCTTCTTTTTTCTTTTTTTTTTATACGAAATTATCACTGTAAGCCAGATTCCTGGTCCCCTCCTCAGATAGAAATACTCAATACTTATTTATGAATGCTTAGTTGTACAGCTATCAAAATGTTTTCTTTTGAAGCATCTGGTGGACTTGAAAATCACTAAGATAACTATGACTTGAGGATATGGAGAACATTCATTCTCAGCTACATGGTCTTTTTATAGAGAAAAATAACAGCAGGGAAAAGAATTGATACCAAGTGTGAGGTTTCTAGGATATTTTGGATGGCAAAGTAGAAATAATGTTAGTGTTTTCTTAAAGAGCCCCAAGGTTATCATCCATCTGTAGTGGTTTATAGTCCATTGTTGTTCGTGTGTTTGTTTCGTATTTGTTTTTGATCAGATACGGATTTCTAAGCCAAAGATGCCACATTCGCCATCACTTTCATCTGACTTAGGAGAGCATTTGATGAGAAATGCCTGAAAGCTTTCAATTTAATAAGCCCAAAGTATTATAGCATTGTAAATTATCCTTTGTGCTTTAAACCTTGCAAACATGGCCTTGTTGTCAGTTTTTAAACTATGATGAATGTTTCCAATAAACCTGGCCATGAACATAAAGAAGAATAGTTATTTATGGAGAGATTATTAAATAGATGATTGTGGATTATCATTCTTCAGTCCAAAGAGAAAACTCGGTCCTGTGCAGACCCTTTTTCTTCTAGCATCTGGAGGGTTCAGCATGTAGTCCTGGGCATTTATTATTTGTTGTTTTTGTAAGGATAAACTACAAGTCTTGTTGCTCATTTTTATTTTGTTTTGTCGAAAGAAAACTGGACATTGAGGCCATTTTCCAAAAGGATTTCCCCTGGAGGATTCTAATTAAAAATGAATAAAAACATCCTTATTGAAAATTATTTGATGCCGGAGAAGCTCACATTTCACTGAGGACGAATCTTTACCACAAAGGAAAGAAAACTCACTTGTTATATATTGACAAGTTAGAATTTTTGTTATCAAACAGGTTTGGCAAGCATCGAAAAGATGACAAGATTGAGAAAACTGGTAGAATAAAACTCCCGGACTCCTTTACGTCAGAAGAGGAGAGGAAGCGGATGAAGCAGGAGCAGGAGAGGTAGACCAGCTACTCAGTTAACCTTCCCCATAAGGAGGCCCTTTCCTCTTTTACACTTTCTCTTTTTAAAATGTAAACATTTTACATTTAATTATATTTTCTGTGTAAATCCTAATACTGATGGTTGTGAGGTGAATATAATGTAAAGGAAGATTTAAAAAAAAAAGAAGAAACCTTGTATTTACTTGAGTATAAGAAGTGGATTTTAACAGTTTTAGTTAAGTTTTTTTACATAGGGGATAGGAGAGCATATTAGACAAATAACTAAGCAATAATACTGAATTTATGATTATTTTCAAAGTCGCAAAAATATTTAAAATCCTGCCTCATTCATCTATGGATATGTAATATGTTGTAAAAAATCATTGGAACCAAAACTATTTGAATTTGTATATCTCATTTTGCACATTTGATTCATAGTAAGAATTCACAGCTCCTGGTTTTCACTAAGCTGCTTTCCTTTCCGAGATGACGTTTTATTTCTCGCTGCTTCTATGTCACTATCTGCACATTTTGTGACATTTTCTACATAAGTTTATTCCATATCTTCCAAAAAGATCGTTATCGATTGTTGAATTATTCCATGTTAAGAACCCAAAGACCCGTGAAAACTGGTAGGATTGAAAACTGTTTTACAAGTGATTCGGATCTTCCTCATTAGAATTCCGAGGATGACAAAGCCAGCACCCTTTCGTTAGTGGAGTTCCAGGCTTGGACAGAGCTTGCCTGAGTCTTCAGTGGCACCGCAAGGGGCGCTGTGTGCCCATTTCACCTCGGATAATGTAGGATTTGAAAGGGTTTCTAGTACCTTGACCAAGGTTACAAGCTAAATCTTGGGCATCCTTAGGGTACTGGCCCAGCATATGTGAGATCAGATCCTGTGTTTTACAGCTGTTTTAGACACCGGAAGTGTTCAGTCTTGTTCTTAGCAATGAATGAAAAAAGCTAATAGTATTCCACAACAGATTTTTTTGTTTTGGTGTTTTGGTTTGGTTTTGGTTTTTGGTGATGTTGGAAATCAAATTCAGAGCCTCACGCATGGCAAGAAAGCACTCTACTGCTCACCCTCATCCCCAGCCTGGCAGTTTTTAAAATAAATTAGTGGAAAGCAAACAAACAAAAAAAGTGATTAGTGTTTAAATATTTGTCATTCATCTTTCTAATACCTCTGAGGGTTTTTGCTGCTTTTTTGTTTTGAGTTGAATCTGATTCTATGTAGCTTTCCAGGGTATAAAATCTATACCCTGGAATAATATGGAATGTTAATTTATGATGCAATCTGGGTTTATTCTGCTAGTTCTTCCCCAATTTTTCCCCTTTCTTCTTTTCCTTCCTTCCCTTCTTCCTTTCTTTCCTTCGTTTTTGGCAGTGGTGGGGATTTACCCAAGGCCTTACATATGCTAAGCAAGCTCTCTGTCACTGAGCTACATTCCTTGCCCTCCATTTTCATTTTAAAAACATCATTGCACTTTGTTGGTGGGAGTCCCTCTGATCTTCACCAATTGCGAGATCTGCAAACATACCAATACACTTGCTATTTTTAGGTCTGGGTGTACAGTGGTTCTTTATGTACCATATAACCTTTTATTACTCAGAACTATAAGCTTCTGCCCTAAAAGAGTTTGTTTTTTGTTTTTGTTTTTTGGTGTGGATTCTTTTTTCTTTAATTAGTTAACAAAATAATGGGTTTCATTATGACATTTTTGTATGTGTATGCAATATACTTTGATCATATCTACCCCATTATCCTCTCTTCTCTCCTCTCTCCCATCATCCCCTTTCTCTTCCCCAATAGTCCCTATTCTACTTTCATGCTGAAAGAGTTCTTGTCCCTAAAAATAAAGCATACTAGGTAAATGCATGAACTCAGATTTATCCACAGGCAAATATGTCATTTAATTTGAGAGCAATCAGAGTGACAGAAAGAAACATTCTGCATCCATGTCCTGAAATCTGCCAAAGGGGATAGCTTCATTATCCTGTACCATTTTTCACATTCTAAATACTCTGCTTTGCAGGTTAAGGTGACTTCTGTGTTTCAGTACAGACTTCTTTCAACATTTTCCATAATACTTTTATAATACATACTCAAATCTTTCCAGCCAAACAATGATTTTTACATAATGGTTTCTCATGTATTATTAATTTGCCTCAGGCACAGTTCACTTCTCAGTTTGGCTTTTAATCTCCATATTTGTACCTCTAATGATGCAATACTTCTGGGAACTAGGTTGGTCATAATGAATTTACAATGTACAGGAGGCCTAGAGTGAAAATCTTTTAGGGTCAAGGAACAAGTGACTGGTCCATTAAAAAAAATCAGTTAGGCTCATAATTTAAGAAAATTACAGTAGTTTATATTTCCATAACAATTTTTGTAACTATGTTTTATTTTAACTTATGGATTGTGCAATAGAGCAAGTGAGTCCATGGGACTTGTTGAGTTCACTGAGTGGTTAATGCTTGTGGTTTCAGGATGGTAAGTCTTCTGTTGTATGTCTGTCCTTTGTGGCAGTGCTCCTTTTAGAAATGGAAATTGCAACTTCTTTGGGAAAAATATGATTGGAGGAATAGATAAAAATAAATAACCACTCCATATGTTCTCAACACAGCCTTTCCCTCTCTGCTGACTTGTAGTAAAGCATTTCCTCTATCACATTATTTTCCACTCTAACTATTTGAGTTCCAAAATTCATTTTGGCTGATTCTATATAAAAATAGAAAACTTGACATTCCTTAGTTATGAGTTATGACAAATACCCAAACCAAAATATTTTCTTGGCCACATGCATCTGTAAAGCCTGAATATTATTACTCGATATAAATATTAAAAATTGAAAGGTCCATGACTCTAATTTAAAATATTTTTCCTACAGTGGGAAGATTTATTTTGGTGGCAAAAGTAAACTAGATTATTCTGAGCCTAGGTCTGAGATGAACTTTGGCATCATTCTTGCTAAACTCCTCCTTTTTTCTTCCCACTCCCAATACTGGGAGCTTGGGGCTTGAGTCAGTGCTGTTCAAGTGACAGCAATGGAGGGAGGATTGCAGGTGGATCTGTCCTGTGTCTCCACTAGTGCTCCCTGCCACAGCTTCAGCCTGCATAGCTCAGGTCTCTTCTTGAGAAGACAAAGGTGAAGTTAACTGCTCCTGAGATGAGTGCTTCTCTTCCTGTTCTGAGCCCTGAGCCTAGATGCCCTAGCCTTTCAGAGATGCTACTGTCAGCCTAGGGATAGGCAGGGGCCCTAAGCAAAGGGATGAAGTACTGCTTGCTGCCTCTTGGTTTATTTTACAGGCCTAGGGACAGCATCCCTATTTGATCCATTTCCAACACATGAAATGTTTGGTTTCCAAAACCAAAACAGAATGCATTTGATAAAATATCTGTATAACTTCAGAACTGCCTAGCTTCCACTAGGAAGCACAGTGGTAGATTTCACTGTGACCAAGCACCAGAAGTATCACTTGGCATTCTCTGTGTTTTAACTCCAGTGATATCTCCACTTCTGTTTAAATGAAAGTTTATAAGCAGCGTGGGCCAGCAGTTCCCAAACAGTGGTCAGCAGCACAAAAGGGGTTCCACGTACCAAGATGTATGAAATACACTTTTGTGAGCCAGTTTACACATCATTTCTCCAAATCTCACTGAGGTCGATGTGCCTTGTAAATCACCAAGACAGGAACAGTGAACCATCATTTTCCTGACTTAGTCACAAAATATCCTATCAGCCCTTCACCTTTTGTTTTTTCATGGATACTAAACTAAGCGTTCAGAGAGTGCTTGGGAAATACTGATATGAAGTAGACTCCTGGCTCTGGGTTGAACCATATCCAGCTCACTCCTCTACTGGCCATGGAAACTAGTGATGATTGTTTTACAGAGTTGAGAGAAAACTTAAAGCCAGTGTTTGTGAGCAGCCTCTGCTTTATGGCTTCTCTTTTTGTGTTTCATGACTTAGGACCATTCATCTTTCTCAATTTTCTTTTTCCTATGTATTTCTCCCCTGTTTAAAACATGCATTTTTAAGCTCTCATTCTAAGTTACTGAAATTATAAAACTATAGACAATTTTAGGAAAAACCTAAAATTAAAATAGGAAAAAAAATTTATCTGTGTTAATACCACTGTTAGGGCTGGGGTGTCACTCAGTACACACACACACACATCCCAAAACCCCCCACTATTAACATACTGGCCTATGTCATCATAATCTTCCTTTTTCCTATAAAATCTCCATACATATGTACTTTTTAAAAGGTTGACATCTATTTCCTTTTTTGATTTATTTTTTATCTTATGCATTCTTAGACAATCATGTAGAATATTTTCTGGAACAAGGCTAAGTCTATATGAACAGATGTGTGTATGGATGGGTGGGGGGGTAGGAAGGATAAAGCAGAAAGAAACATAATCCGAAAGATGAAATATTAGCTCTGATAGTGGGCCAGATTCCCCAGTCCTCAAATCACATTCATCTTATGTTAGTCATTGTTTATATGAGAATTATAGTGCTAACTGGCTTGCATTTTGTAGTTACTAAGGCCGTGATCCCTATTACAATATTATTATAGGAAGTTGTGCCTGCAGGTACTTCCAAGGGTATTTAATGCTTCACAAATCTAAGGAAATACATGACTTGAACTCTCCATTGTTCAATGTTAGAATCACCCTTCAGAACCTTTTGTTTTTAGTGACAGGTTGTTGAACTAGCCAGCTCCTTAAGTGGCATGCTCCTGGTTCTTGGTGTGCCATTTACAAGTGTTTGCAGCACTCTCTGTTCCTGCTTTGACCAACAGTTCTCCGTGTCTGCTCTAAGTAATTACTTCAAACATTGGATGCAGCTGTTTTTGTGGTCTCAGCTGGTAACATCTTTTTCAGCAGGTGATATATATCTGTTTTGCTAAGGACAATCTTTGCCTTTAAGTCACATATTGTCATGCAAAGATAGCTTTTTAAAAATTAACGTTTTGGGCTGAGGCTGTAACTCAGTGGTAGAACGT